TATATATATATTATTTTTAACAAGGAAACCAAAAGTTCAGAACTGCCCATTATTTATTTCCAATTTTCAAGGAAAGGGCAGAAACAAAACTTGGAAGTCTTATTTTCCTTATTTTCCTTTAATGTGAACTTTAGCTTAAAGAAAGATATAAAATCCACAGTCTTACTCAAAATAGTCAAGTCCACAACGAAATTGCAATTTATAGATTCCCTATAACTTAAGCATGTTTCTGCTAAAATATTAAAAGAGGAACAGCATGTAGATGTAGAATACTAGAAATTGGGGGATCATCTTTTTCATTTTTGTCGTGTCTTTAGAAGGTAATTTTGATACTTAAGAAATGAAGGAAATTTATATGGGACAGGGGAGTATTTTGTGTATGTTGTCCAAAAGTATAATTCTGCAATCTTGCATTTAAATTATTAAAAAAAATAGAACCTCTGTATAAAGTTTTAATGCTTATGATACTGTGTACAACTTTGATGATATTTCTGAATACACAAAAAATGGGCTATTTTATTAAGCTTCAGTCTTAAGTGTCAACTGTTAGGAATCAAGCTGCTCTGAAATTACTATGATTAACTGCAACCTTAATGACAAATGTAAACCAGTAATAATGGCCCTATTTTAGTGTGTTTAAAAAACTTGATATAGTGCAGGAAAACTGTTCTAAAATATATAACCCAAAATCAAATGTTTAAATGAATTTGATTTATGTTTCTTATTATGTTTTACATTCCCTCCAGAGGTGGTATTCAGCAGGTTCTGACCAGTTCTGGAGAACCGGTAGCGGAAATTTTGAGTTGTTTGGAGAATCAACAAATACCAGCTCTGCCTGGAGATTTTACAGGATCCTTCCCCTGCCATGCCCACCAAGCCACACCCACAGAACCGTAGTAAAAAAAAATTGAACCCCACCACTGATTCCCTCCCTCCCAAATATCTTTGCTTTATTGGCTAAATATTTAAAGACAACACCATATCTCTTCATAAAACCTTTGGTCAACTGATCTTGTAAATTAGATATTCTTGGTCAGTTCATTGCTTTAAAGTACTGTGAATTTATCACATTGGGGGGTACCATCTAGGGAGGGGAAATGTTCTCTTTGCAGGATTACATTTCACATGAAGTTGCCAACTTTTTTTATTACCTCCTGTCATGCTTTTATTAGGAAGCTTTAATAGCAGTGATTCTTGTGTCCATATTGTGAGAACTTTACGTATTGATTTACTCTAAAAGAGTAGGAGCAGGAAAAACCATTTTCTAAACAGTGGTAACTTTACTCTTGGACTGTGGTAGCCATACCTACAATTGAGATTCTACAAAGATTTCCAGGAACAATTTGGAAATAGTGTCCATTGTTATTTTTTTTTTTAAATGGTGCAGAACTAATGTATGATTCCCAAGGATTTTGGATAGAAAACAAAAACAAAGCAGCACAATTCTGAGAAGCGACTATAAAGTGTGTTTTTATACATGTTGACTATTCCCACTCTATGTATTGTAATGGCTTTCTGTCTTCAAACCGATGGAAGCCGATTCTTCTTGCTCATCTTGTTTTGTGTGCATAAATTGGATAATTAACTGACACAAAGATGAAACCAAGCTAGCAAAGTTGTTCACCCAACAGCGTTCCTGAATTTTTGTATTTCACCTTGGTTGTAGTGTACATGACCTTTTCTATACTTGACATTAAATCCAGACAAAATATGTTTCATAACTGTGAAATTTAATAGGACAAAAAGAGTCTCCCGCACCCACCCCCTTCCCCAATACACATACTGTGAGCAGGATTTCCCAACAAATGCATCCTTAGTAGAACATTTACCTAATGCTGCTAATTACACATTTGGTGACACTGAGTTCCAATCCTAATATTCTTGGGAGTAATTTGCATGAAATCCAGCCTGACTTACTACTAGTGGCTGCATCTAAATCCCACAGAATTTTGTACAGTTTATTTTGAAATAATCATGCTGTGAGAATCTATTTGAACATTCGGGTGGTTTGCTTGTAATTAATTTACAAACACCAGATATCAGGTTTTGGAACTAAGTAGGCTTTATTAAGTATGCATCAAACTATTCATATATAAATGAGAGAGAGAGAGATGTATATAAGCAGTAGATGATATATTCAGAAGTTACTTGCTCTCTGTTTCAGGACTGAAACCTGAAACATCTATTAGGCTATAAAAATTGCATTATTTTTATTTTTAAAAAGTCATGGAATGGAACAGTTGGGTATCACTTGCATATGTACTATACATACATATACACAACATACATACATGGAAGTGATACTCAGCTATACATAGAGAAATGATGCATACATAGTGGTGCATATATAGAAGTGACCCTGTTATCCTTAATTCGGGGTAGATTCGGATTATAGAGAACTGTGGTGGCCTAATGGTGAAGATGCTTGCTTCCTACTTGGAAAGTTGAGAGTTCAATCCTAGATAGCAGTAGATGTTTCTCTTTAAGGGTGCAAAGAGAAAATATATGCTACGAACTCCTTGTAGGCATCAAGAAGGGCATCCAGCCAGTAAATGCTCTGCTCCTTCCATTTGCCCCAATTCTACCCTGAATTAAGGGATTATAGGATTGTAAAAAGGCTCACAGTGCAGGTTTTTACACTCCAGGTTGCTATTAAAAACATGCTTATTTGTTTCTTCCTGTTATAAAATAAGAAAGAAGCTTCAAAGGGCATTCAGATCAGGCAAAATAATTAAAGAGGGAGACTTCTGTGTGCATTTGTCTGTGAGAAAGAAATTTATTATTATACAAATGGATCTATGAAGCCATATATTTATCTAGAAGAATCACTAAATAACCAAGCTTTTTGAAACGCAGACTTTCAGTGTATAACATAAAATTTGGTCTACTTGACAGATTCAGCTTTCCTTCAGAGAGAATTTAAGTTCTGAAAATTACGGCTATCAAATTGAAGATTATGAAAAACCTCTGCATTTTCACACCCCACCCCTATACCTGAGTGTGAAGAGCAGCATAGGTGACAAACTTCAAACAAAGATGCAAGGAAAATAAATGATTTGTTCATGTTCTCAGTTGCATTTGGGAATCTGAGCAAGTGACAAGAACTCATACTTTTTCCAAAGCCTGCAGAAACCATAGTATGAGGATCTATGGGCACATTACAGATAGTCCTTGACTTATGATTGCAATTGAGACTGAACTTGCAATGTAAAGTAGTGTGGTTGTTAAGTGAGTCATGCCCAATTTTATGACCTTTTTTGCACTGGTCAATAATCAACCCGTCTTGTTTTATTGACTTTTCTTTTTGGAAATCCCCTGGGAAAGTTGCGAGTATGTGACTCCAGAACATTTTATCCATTGCAAATACATGCCAGCTGTCAAATGCCCAAATTTTGATCCCATGACCGTAGGGATGCTACAAATGGTTATAAGTGCAAGGACCAGTTGTACGTCAGTACTTTTATAATTTCAAAATGGTCATTAAATGAATGATCATAAGCTGAGGACTATCTGTAGAGTTTAGTGAAGTCACATAGGAGGAGAAAATATATTATTTTGTATTTTCTCTTTTTGTACTTCCATGTATTATACAAAGAAGGGGAATAATATGCATCTCTCCCTGGAGAACAATACCAAAAATGCAAGAAATTGACATTCAAGTTTTTTTATTATTACTATTATTACAGTATTTTAAGGTTTTATTTTTGATTGGTTTTTGTTTTATGCTACAGCACAACAGACATAGGAAAGCGCTATAAAACCTAATAAATATTAGGCCTGTGCAAATAAGGTCTGCTCTTGATTTGTCACATCAGTTCAAAGAATATGATCAATCCAAATCTGAATTATTGAATCAATCTGAACAATGCAATGGAGTTTGAAATCTGAAAGGATGAATCGGGTCAGCTTGATTCAGAAATCTGATTGTCCATGTGGAGAAAACTTTTTTATCCCCCAAATCAAATTGGATTATTGGATTCAATCTGAATCAAGTTCATGCATCGAATCCAAAACAAGTTTGCTAATTTGAATTGATGAAATGAAAATTTGTACAATCTTAATAAATACAATAACTCACGTTGCTTTTCTCTGTATTATTTTTTTATGATACTGCAGACTTATGCTACTTTTCAAGTCAGTTGAGCACCAATTGTTTACTATTAAATCAGAATAATCAGGCCATTTAGTGACCGTTTGAAGTTACAATGCTACTAAAAAAAAGTGACTTGTGATCGTTTTTCACCCTTTCGATGATTGCAACATCCCCAAAGTCATGTGATCAAAATTTGGATGCTTGGCAGTTGACTCATATTTATGACGATTGTGGTGAACCACAATTACTATTTGCCCCCAGCCAAGAAATGTTACCTAATCCTAGATTAAGGGATCTCAAAGTAAAGAAAATGAAAAAGAGAAGAAGAAATATGTTTCAGAGTTTAGCCTAATAGTTATAGACCATGTGATCCCTTTCTGCCACCTTCTAAAAAGCAAAACCAATGGGGAACCCAGATTCACTTAACAAACATGTTGCTAACTTAACAACTGCAGTGATTCCCTTAACAACTGTGGCAAGAAAAGTATTCACTTAACAACTGTTTCACTTAATGACATAATTTTTGGGCTTAATTGTGGTCGTAAGTTGAGGACTACCTGTACTTCCAGATACAGACATGGCTTCAGTTACATCCTTGGTCCCTGTTAAGCTGCCTATGTCACTTGATTTGCCCACCCCCCTTTAAAAAAAGGAATACTTTAATAAAACAAATTTAATAGAAGATGAACATGCTGCAAAGCAAAACAGCACCCTCTAGCATGATAATTACATGTAGCAATAACTTGGGGTTCAACAATAACCTATAAGTGCTAATTTCTTTCTAGTAAATGGAATCTATCTATGGAATTATCCATCTTTTTCACAGCAGCCATTTTACAGAAAGGCCAAATCTCTCATAGCAGCCATTTTGGGAATGTGGCTACCACATGCTATCACTATTTGCCCCCCGCCAAGAAATGTTACCTATCCTAGATTATGGGATCTCAAAGTAAAGAAAATGAAAAAAGAGAAGAAGACATATGTTTCAGAGTTTAGCCTAATAATTATAGATTGGTGGTTTTTTTTTAATGTATTGGAGGCATATTTAATCAGCATCATCCTAAGGGCTGGTGAAATCAGGAGATGAAAACATTGGCTTAAGCTTGTCAGGTTGGCAATAGCTTTGCAAATACCATTCAGCTTTGCATGTTGAGAATAACTTTCTAAGAACTATGAACTGACGAGAGACACCAGCTGGAGATAAAGGGACGAAGGATATTATGTCTATCACTGACTTTTGGACTTTCTGAGTAACCTCATGTTCTCTCCCCCCATACCCAAAGGAGAACAATATGATTATTCCTGTAGATCCATAGGCTCTAGACAGCAATCCCCAAAACAGGCTTGATATTTCACCAGCAATGAACAGTGAAGGGTAAGGGTGGGAACAAAAGGCTCTTGGATTCATAAGGTTATTAAAATTAAAGCAAGGGAATTCCATTATTGAAAACCGGATACTGAAACATCCGTTTGTAGTGACTTTTGGTGTTGTGTTCAGACCAAAGGGGGACATCGTTGCTTCAAATACTATAAGCAAACACAATTTCATTGGGAATCATTAGAATGAAATGTCCAGCATGCTTTTCTTTTTCTACTGAAAGCTTTACAGGGCTAAGTTTGCTAAATAGGAACATGGTATCAACAGCAAGCAAGACTGCCAAATCTTTTCTTGGCAGAGGTCTCTTTGTCTTTAAGAGCGCATGCCTGGGAAAAAGGCAACATGTAAAGGTTTTTTTCATCATGGAAACAGACTGATGGAAGCAGCTGTCCATGCAAAATTTGTCCCATCATGCAACAATTACCGACAGAGAAGCCAATGTCCGAAAAGAAATGGACCTTTTGGAAAGTAATATTTTCTTTAAATAAAGCAGAAGTGCTTTAAGAGCCCTTCCTTTGATCAACATCACATTAAAACACTTTTTTTTTTCTTTTGCAGTTAAGGCATGCATACCTTAGGAGTTATTCTTCATCCACTTCTGCTACAAACTGTGAATGATGTTCTGGTGACTTGCTGTGTGTTTTGCTTAGATGAAGTTTTACAGCATGTTTGCTCACAAATGTCCGAGAGCACAACTTACATTTGAACTTAGAGTCTGTGTCCTCTTCTCCAGCTATTGTTTCAGGAGATCTTTGAACTGAAATTCTGGAAATGTCTTGCTCTACCTTGGTTTGCTGCTCCACAGCCAGCTTGTTCATGTCTTTCATTTGGAAACCTAGATGGGATTCTAAATGGCTGATGTACGTTGATGGGGTTCTAAACTGAGATGCACAGTCACTGCAATAAAAGATGGGGTGTCCTTTATCCATGTTTTTCAAAAACTTTGTCCCCCCAGTTTTTCTGAGCTGGTACTTGACGTTCGCCAGCCAATGGCTGATGGTAGTCATGGACAACCCAGTAAACTTGGAAATCTGCATACGTTCTTGAGGGCCCAGGTCTGACAACAAATATTTACCCTCCGATGTTTGGAAGAGACTGGACGCAAATTGCGCTTGTAGAATCAGGAGATGCTGAGGATTCCAGTTGGACTGCCTTCCTTTTCTTTTATGCAACGTGGAGACTTCTGTGGAGACATCTTCAAAACGCCGAACATCCATTTCCAGTTTCATGGATGGGATTCTGGATGAAGCAGCAGGTTTCGGGGTTGTTGCTTTGGGAAGGACTTTGACCATGTCTGCAATGTCAGACAGAGCGTGCTTCTGAGGTGGGGAAGTACAAGACTGGGCCTGAACAGATTCTCCTTTTTTATTCTTGGATTTTGTCAGGTCAATTGGCTGATCATTGTTCTCAAACACATAACGCCTGGATGTGACATTTGCAGGTTTAGCTGGGGTTGACGCAGGAGACAGAACAGGCTTCTCTATGATATTTAAATTTGGTTTGTGGAACAAAGATGCTGAACTTGAACTGGGGCTGGAGTTTGACTGAGGTCTCAAAGGCTCATTTGCTTTGCCCAGATGGTTGTTCAGCACAGACTGCAGGGCGCTGAGGGGATTTAAACCTGGCAGCTCTGAAGTGTGGTTCCCGGTAGGGCATCCATTGCTGAGAGATGATGTCACACAATCCTTCGTTTTTATTTTTTCCTCCTCTTCCTTTGTCTTGTGTTCCTCCTTCAAAGGACTTAACTCTGACTTTTTGGGCTCTATACACATCTCAGCCTGAGGAGGAGAATCTCCTTCATTCTGATACGGAGCAACCACATCTGTCTTGTTGCCATCTTTAACGTGGTCCTTATGACCTTCCTTCTTGGGGGGGTCTCCTTCTTTTTTCAACTGACTGCACTGGACTATATTAGCTGTCATGGGTACAATAGGCATCATTTTCCATTTTGGAGCGATAGGCCTCAGTTTATTACTGACTGTTGGTCGAACTTGTAAAACTTGTGACCCCACCGGTAAGGAAGGCTTTGTTCCCTCTGAGAGCTGGTATGCTGCATGGATGCTGGGATATGCACTCCAGCTGGGTGCTCCATTCTGGGCTTTATTGATGGCTGTGGTGACAGTGTTTTCCAAAGACTTCAAAATGTCTCCACCACCCTTTGAAGCATCTTCTAAATCTTCCTCCCGGAGATACTGATATTTCATTGTCGGGTCCAGTGGTTTTTGAAGAGCGTCTTCATAATCTTCATTTTTTATCCCTTTTTCATCTTTGTTCACTTCCTCAGATTTATTTTGCTTACTTTCTTTTTTTAGCTCTGAAACAGGAGCCATAGAATCGGTTGATGAATTACTGGAGGGTTTCGAATGCTGGCTGTCAGTGGCTGACGCATCAGAAAGCGACTGCATTTTTTCCACAGCCAAGGGATCCAAAACAAGCTGTTTCCCTTTCTTCGAAGCTGAACTCGTGACTTTCAGGAAGTGACCCGTGACCATCATGTGGGTTGTGAGTTGCTGCAAAGTATCGTGGGAGCTCCCGCATTCCATGCACTTGAGAATCTGCGATTTGCATGCTTCAAACTGCCACGTGTAGCTGGCACCGTTCTGGTAGCCGTAACGATTGTTAGACGATAGCTGCAGGTTGGCATTCTTATGAGAAGAGAATGTGTCAGCAAAGGATCCCGTGGTCGAATCTGGAGAGCAAGGCCTATTAATGTCGAACACACGTTTCTTATTTGGAGTTACCATCTTGGAAGAGATGGTAGGTACCGGCTCCTTCAAAGGCACTTTTTGGTAATGTTTTGTTTTGATCATATGAACACTCAGGTCTTGAAGAGAGTCAAAAGAATCACCACAGAACATACATTTCAGGACTTTCTGAGCATCTTCTTTATCCATGTCCTGAAAAGCCCTTTTCCGGGGCTTGGAATAGCTGGTAGATCTGTGCTTGTCTTTTTTATGGTTGTCATCTTGGTAATGGCCACTTTCGTTCATGTGGACAGTAAGCTCAACTAAGGTATCATAGGCAGCGCTGCACTGCCTACACCGAAACCTACTAGCACCTGTGAATACAGTTCCACACATCTTGCTACTTTGCCTGTATAGCTGGACTGAGCTGAAAAGGTTTGGCTTGGAGAGTGGCCGGACAGGTAAACTCTGCTGCAAGCTTTTGGTCAAGGCATCCTGATGCCAATCAAAGTCACTTTTGCTTGCTCCGTTTCTGTTGTCGCATCCCCTCTTATCAGAATTGGACAGTTTGAGCCCCAGTCCCAAACCTGTCCAATAAGAATCTGAAAGGATGTTAGCATAAACAGCTGTCATTTTATCCATGCAGCTGTGTGTGTCCGTTGGATGTTTGGGATGGATATTGCCTTTGGAGTCCGATGCCTCCCTGGAGCAGAGGCTTTTAATGTCTGCCACCTGGTCGCTAGCATCACTAAGTAAAGATTCATTTTCCGCATCCTGATTGGAGATGTGACTCCCTGGGGAATTCTGGTAGCTTAAGTTTTCTTTTGGATCAGGACCAGTTTCGTGTTCTTCATCTGTTCCTGGGTCATTGCTCCCCTGAAGATGAGCCGTTGAATTGCTCTCTTGATCATCCTCTTCCTCCTCTTTTATGTCTTCCTCATCTTTCAGATCATCCTCTTGGACATAACCTGCAAAGGAATATCAAAATGTGTGAAATAGGTCAAATAAAACATGGGACATTCATTTTTCTAGTTGCTTCCTTGCTAGAGTTTGGTTAATCATTTATTTTTATGGACTGTTAGCACAAGATGTGAAAAATCCAGCAAGACTACCTGGTTTTATTAACAGACAATCATTATTCTTTATAAGTTATAGACATTTGGAGTTAATAATAGTAGTCAAATTCTAACCACCTCTTAATGGAACAGTCAGAAAAATTAATATCCAAGATCCTATTAAGCCCATTAAAATTGCATGATCATATGGATATTAGCTCACTTGAAAAAATTTCCACTGGCCAAATGAAGTATTCCTGCTTCTAGGGTGTATTTTCAGGTACAACAATGTTGTCAACATGATAACCATTCAGAATGCTTGAGGTGACAGAACAAATGAATGCTACACAGAATTGTACACAATATATCACTATATTTTATATATTTTATATCACTATATCACTATATTTTTCATAATGTTTTTTAAACCAAAAAACAATATTTTCAATGAAAAGGTACTTTGCATAGTTTCTACGATCTAATAGTTTATCCCTAAATTGTAAAATGTATTCCAAAGAAGGGTATGCTTCATTCTCATATGAATACTATAACATTTTCATTCAGCTTATACAGATAAAATAGTTATAATTCTGTATCTATTCCTGAATGGAGATGGCCATGGGTTCATCAAATAATCATGGCATTTGAATAAATGATGGTAATTGCATGGAAAATTAGATGGAAATCCCTTAGAGTCCCTCCACAAATTTAGCTGCATATGTCACATATGGATCTGCTGAATATTGGGTTAAATCCATCTTAACTTAGTTGCATATAGTTCACACTGAAATCAATGGGGCATTAGTTAAATCATCATTACTTTGGTCCATTAATTTCAGCGGGACTCAAATTAAACTAATTTAATCTGGATTCAGTCCACAGAGCCAAACTGCTGTGTCAAGCCCAATACTGCCAATTCTAAATGGCTATCATGTTGTAGCAATTTCTATTTGGGACTTGTTAAGATTGGAATAAGCTGCAATCCCACTCTGCCAATATACTCTGCTCAATTTTAGCTATTAGAAGCTATCATACAATCCTCAAAGCATGAATTAGGAGGTTAACTTGTTAACTTGTCAAGCTAATTTCATCTGTAATTTCAGCTTCATCATTTGACTAATATAAAATGTTACCAAAATCAAGAGGCTATTTTTATGACTTGGGATTGTTCCTGAGACATTATCTTAGGTTGATCTAAAAAACTCAACGCGACTGCTAATTCTACTTTTATGAATACAGCAGAGGTGGTATTCAGCAGGTTCTGACCAGTTCCAGAGAACCGTTGGCAGAAATTTTGAGTAGTTTGGAGAACCGGTAAATACCACCTCTGGTTGGCCCCACCCGTCATCTATTTTCTGCTTCCCGAATCCCAGCTGATCGGGGCCCTGCTTTTGTTGCCCTGTCCAGGAGAACAGAGCTGGAAAGCAGGTTAATGGGGTGGGGAGGGAATGGGATTTTGCAGTATCCTTCCTCTGCCATGCCCACCAAACCACGCTCACCAAGCCACACCATGCCACCAAGCCACACCCATAGAACCGGTAGTAAAAAATTTTGAATCCCACCACTGGAATACAGGTAATCCTCAACTTAGGACCTTAACTCAGCCTCAAATGTCTGTTGCTAAGGAAGACATTTGTAAAGGAAATTTTGCCCTACTTTATGACTTTTCTTGCCACAGTTGTTAAGTGAATCATTGCAGTTGTTAAGTTAGTAACATGGTTCTTAAGTGAATCTGGTTTCCTCATTGGTTTTGCTCGTCAGAAGGTTGCAAAAGGGGACCCAATGATACTGGGACACTGCAATCATCATAAATATGAGTCAGTTGCCAACCATCTGAATTTTGATTACGTGACCATGGAAATGCTGCAATGATTGTAGTGTGAAAAACTGTCATAAGTTATTTTTTTCACTGCTGTTGTAACTTTGAACAATCATTAAGCAAACAGTTTAACAGTCAAGGATTACCTGTAGTACATTTCTCCTGCTGTTTTCTATTATTCTTTCCTCGTGGTGTTTTTAATGTTCTCTTTAGTGAACCAGTATACAAAAGCAAATGTAATAGCCAATGTTAACTACTCCTTCACAATACAGAGGAAAAACTCCGCTTTTTAACTCCGCTTTAACAGGTATACTATAATCTTTACAATGCAAGAACTGAGAGAGTTGTGGTTTTTAAAACTCCTTGTGTGTTAGCAATGAACACACAACATGAACCTAAGATTGGAAGGCTCCATCAAAAATTCCACCAAACAATTGAATTAAATTAGAATGCATATAATTTTAGTTTTATAAAAAAAGGAAGGATTGAAGGAAATACATGATTGTATATTTACATATATATTTAAAGGCACTTTCCTTCTCCCCCCCCATTTTTTTTTTATTCATTTGCTTTGGTATTTAAAGCAGTTAAAATACAGATGCTCGCAGTAGTTAATGAATGTGCGGAGAGCCCTCCAAATGATTTTCTTAAGGTTCCACCATATGGAAATTGTCATATAAATTGAAATGCAGGAGATTAATTCATCAGAATGCTTGATTAGTAAAAGAGCTTCTGATAGAACAACTTTCATCTTTCTTTAAAAAAAAAACATAACGTAGTTGCAACCCTTTCAGTACACAAATTAAGGCCATTTTGTGCAATCAGTTTATTTGCGCAAAAATATATTTCTTGAGCAAGGGCAATCTAGATATAGAAAAAAACTTTCCAATATTGGGTTCATTCTTTACAAAATGCTAGTTGCCCTTTGACCTTCCAGAACATTTAGAAGGATTCATCATAAAAGCTTGCTCAATTTGAGGTAATGATATGTTTAAAATATTGTGTTAAAAAAAAAGCAGATTATAGTATGTTTTGGAAGTGGATGCGAGACCATATTTAATTCCACAATAGAAAACCAAATATACCATATGAATCAAGCAGTATCTCAGTATCACTGAAACCATTGATCTATCCAGCCTCATGATTTTTAATTCAAGAGATCAGCTACCCTGTTTTTCAAATTCTACAAAGATCCTTTGTTTGGATATACTGCAATCTAGTTCATATTCAGTAGTGATCTACCCTCTCTGTCTCCATAGTTAGCATTGGAGTAGAATGCCTAAATTCCAAAGTGTGGGTTGTGACAATCCAAAGAAGGGAACGGTAGATCATAGTTCCTTAACTTGGTACCAACTTTTTAGCAGTGGGTTTTAGAACAAATTGACATCAATACATGCTACTCAAGGACAGACCAATATTATACCTGCAATACTAATTACCTTGTCTGTGGAGATTCTCAATCATCCAAATCATATTTGTTCTCAAAGGTGCTTTTTTTCTTCAATAGACAACTGAAGTGTATTTTTCCTTAAGGAAGAAGAAGAAAATGTTTTGCTTCTCATCCAAGAGGCTTCATCATATTCTGAATCAGAATGTTTCCTCTTCCTCCTCAAGGAAAAAGAAACCCAGTCCAGTTGCCTTTGGAAGAAAAAAAGCACCATTGAGACTAATTTATTGTATATCAGCACTGTGTTTATGACAAAGCTTAATCTAAACCAGTGGTCTCCAATCTTGGCAACTTTAAGCCTGATGAACTTCAACTCTTGCTTGCTGGCTGGGGAATTCTGGGAATTGAAGTCTGCCAAGGATTAAAGTTGCCAAGGTTGGAGACCCCAATCTAAACTGTACTGTAAAATAAAAAGTGTCCCCTCTCCTTGTTGCTCCCTGTGCCCCTAGTACTATATTTAATCTGTACATGCAGTTCTCAACTTACAGCTATTCATTTGGTAACCATGTAAAGTTATGACAACACTGAGAAAAGTAGCTTATGACTGGGTTCCAAGTAACACACCAAACAGAATCAAAACTCCAAGGCAGGCATATTCCTCAAAGTATAGATGTATTAGGCATGTCATAT